GTACGAACTAATACATTCCTGCTTGTAGTAACACCTAATGCTTGTTGAGTACTAAGGGCACTAAGCTAATTCCATGTAAGATATGAAGAGTAAATAGAATAAGTTCTACTTTTAATATGATAAAAGTAAGAGATTTATAGTAACTTCCCTAGGTCACACAGCAAGTGGCTCGAGAGCTTGTTATGGAAACATGAACCCAATTGAAACACACATACCCTTTCCATTGGACCATCCTGGAAAAGTGTGAAGTTTTGAAGGATCCTATGTATAGCTAACAGTCCCAGTAGATTGATAGAAAGTAAAATCCATTTATTGAACACTTTACTATGTTCTGTGCAATAGTAAAAATAGGCAAAATTCTCAATATCCTTTTTCTAATGAAGGAGGTTGTGTATATTTATTACCAAGAGACTAATGCCGATGGAGATTTTTTTAAAGATTTATTTATTTATGCATACAGAACTGGGGTATAGGCCAGAGACATAGGTGTGGTGAGAGGATTCACCAGAGGCAGAGTGTGGAGCAGAACAGGCAGGACTGATGAAGAACACTGCTGAGGGGAGCAGCAGTGTTCTGCTGTGCCATGTGGATCACCTCCGGGGATGGGGGTCCAACTCATGCTGAAATGGCTTTAGCTTCTTAGTGCTGTGTTTTAACTTGCTGCACCACCAGTGAAGGCCCATCCCATGGAGATTTGTTGCTATAGAATTCTAATTGTAAACTACAGCAGCCATCTACTGATTTAAAAAGGAAAACCACCAAATTATTGGTATATTTTTAGTCTCTAGTGAGAACAGGTGACTAATATAGGACTAGATCATTGATGAAAATACAAACTAGGGACACGGATTTCACAAAAGTGAAATGTAGATAGCCCAAGTTTCTCATTAAAAGTATCAGAAGAAAGGGGGAAAGTTGAGGAGACTGTGAAAGAGAAAGAGAGGAAAAAAAGAAAATATACTATAGTTATGGAGTGGAGGAAATTAAACATTACAAATGTGTGAGTATTAATTACATATATTCTAGAACCATGGAGTTTTCTTTGATTTCTCAACATGTAAGTATGGGTTGAGATAAATAATAAGCAGTATGGTTTGTATTTAAACTGATGAATGTTTCAGAGAATTTTTAATTCCTTTATTTCTTTTCCACCTCATTTTAGCTCATTATCTTTCTCCCTAAAACCTACTATATATATATATATATATATATATATATATATTATATATAAAATCAGGACCAAGGACAGATCCTGCATTGTCTTGGCCTTCTTGTGGTTTCTCTGACCTGTATTCTCTGTTCTTTTAATGTCCCTGTAGACATGAAAATATGACCTTGACTATTATCTTGTTGGAGGGGTGGGTGTTTCTATGGATGGGGAAAGGTGTTTCTATGGATGGATCAATCCTTGTGTGTTCCAGCCCCAGGGAAAGACTCTTCAATGTACAGAGAATGAGCTAAAAAACTATCCTTTTTCTCTGAGAACTCTGAGTTGTCACAAGCTAACAAATATTAGAATCATCATATTACTAATACTATAAGTGAATGATCACTTTTTAATTAGTGATTCTTAGAAGTCAGAATCCAGAGATCCACATCTTATGCTAATTTTGAATAACCAGTATTGCACAGAACATAGTAAAGTGTTCAATAAATGCAATTTACTGTTAATCTGTGATGATGTGTTTTTTTGACCTTTTGAAATCTTCAATTAGATGTTGAGAAAGAAACAACAAATGCCATTGTATTTAGAGTTTATTCAAAGCTCTCTTGATTTTTTTTTTTTAAGATATTTTCAACAGCAGGGGCTCCTTACTTAGTAACCTAAAATTAGATTCCTAAAGAACACACAATAGGGAAGGGGAGACTATTTTTCTACTGCCAGAATCCATAAAACTACTTCAACTTCTTCTTTTGTCTCTCTCTTCTATATCTTTCCTCCCCTTTATTCTGGTGCTCATGTTGTTAAGCATATAAATACCATAGGTATTCATGAGAAATGTTGTGTCAATTCTGAATATTGTGTTTTAAAAAAACCACTGATGCATTGATTTGAATGTGTTGAGAGGAAGATGTCTACATGAGAAGTGCCTTGAAGCCAGAAGGTGTCTTATATAACTAGGTTTGAATCTGCAGATGAAAAAAGCAGGGAAGATGTATTGATTGTTTGCAGGATTATCACTTAGAAAGCTCATTCCATGAAGCACCTGATCTACAATTAACATCCATATCCAGGGACATTAGAAAGAAGTTCCTTCTGGGTAACATCAGTAACACCAGTGAGTGGGCATTACAAAAGGGGAATATATATATATGCTTAGCAGGTTGAAAACAATGACAACAGCTTACATTTAACAATTGAATAATCCAAGTACCATCCATGAGGCCAGGAGACACTGAATCAAATGAATGTTCTCAGAAAGGTAACTGTAGAGGAAGATCTTCGAGCAAAGACTGGTTAGACCATAACATACAAGCAGTGAATAACTACATAGCCAGGATAAAAAACAGAATCTTTCTAGATATACTAGTTACTTTTAGCTCATAGGCCTCAGATGGCAGTTGAATATGTTTTCCTGAAGTCCTTTGGTTTTATAATGTGATTATATTTTTACTAGTACAAAACTAAGTAGACTTATATTCAGTGACTGGGAACATACTATCCATTTGTTTATTAATTTGCCATATACATGTGTCTTGGTGAGCTCCTATGTCCCAAGATCTGTTCTAGGCTCTTTGCATAGAAGAATGAACAAAAGGAAAAAGTTCATGCCCTTAAGGAACTTATGGTCTAGTGAATGCCTATTGTGTACCAAATAAATTGATAAAGAAGTAATATGAATTCTAGCCAAAAATAATTTTCCCTTTATATGTGTTGATGTCTGTCAAATTTGCCTTAGTTCACTCCCTCAATAAAGATTTATCTTTTCAAAATACATTTAATAGAATAAGCTTAGCCATCTACTATAATTTCTATCTCCTTTATATAGTATAAATATCAAAAATTAAATAGAACTATTTTCATTTTCTGGGAATGTTTCTACTTTTCTGGTGAAAGAAAAGATATGGCTCATGTTTCATGCATTGAAATATTTGAAATTTTACTTATTCAGGAACTTGAAAATATAGTTACATGTAATTCTGCCTGAAATTCTTTTCTTAGGTTACTAAACCATTGTTTATACTTTTTGGTGTCCATATGACTTATGACTATCAAAGAATTCAGTAAAATTTGTAATTTTAAAATTTAATGTTACATTAAAAAAAAACAGATGGTTCAATCACATCATGAAGTTTTTTAAATATTATGGAAGGGATGAGATGATTGGGTCTATAGAAATCTCTTTAGAAATGAAAATCCTGAGGCAAAATGTCTTTTATTTTTTGTAATTGAATAACATTATATATAACATCACATAGTTTCCGGTATTCATAGTTGAGAATCAGGATGTGTCAATACTGCTTTCTAAGGACTACAGTGTTTCTTTCAGCCCCTGAGCTGGGGTTCTGCCAGTACTCCCCATGGCTGCATTTTCTCTGCCATTTGAATAGGCTGTAGGCATGGCTGAGCTTTGTTAAAGGGCTGCAAATGGCCTGTGCCTACTTTGCCTGATGTGGGTATTCTTAGGCTACTTCTCCTAGTCTCTCTCTCCTAACACAGGCAAGATTTTGTTATACCTCAAACAACTGACTCAAATTCCTAGTTTTACTATATGGCTACAGCGAAATCTTAGTAGGTTAATGAAATCCTAGTGTTCACTATTAGCCTATGTATTACTTGGACTATCCAGTCCATAATAAATCAACTTTCTTGAGCTTGGTGAGATTTGAAAAAGTTTATCCAATTATTTTTAAACACTTATCAGATACCAAACAGTGTGTGAAATCCTTAACCAATTTCAGCTCTTTAACTCTCACAACCTCTAAGGTGGATACTTTTAACATCACCATTTTATGCTATTGATAGCCAACATCAGCAATGGAATTCACCTCTTAAATATAAAGTTTCCAAAATTTAATGTCACATTAAAAGAAAAAAAAAGGTAAAAGAAAACCCAGATGGTTCAGTAACGCCATGCAGTCATTTTCTTGAGTTAATAGTACTCTAATTTGACAGCAGGAACAACAAACTCTCAGAATTTAAATAATCTGTCCAGAATTACAATAGTCTGGTGGGGGACAAGGAAGAGTCAGACTTTGCCCAATGCTGTTTATATTACAATGTAAGTACTTGTAGAATGATTTCCATCTGCCAGTTTGGGTGAGTTCTCAATCTAACATGTTCCTTACAATTAAAAAAATATTTATATTCTTCAAGAAGTGGGTAGTTCTAAAAAATAATAGAAATAAATGTCTGAAATTTTCCTTTGACAAAGTTATTCTATTTTTTTAAATAGCTGTTTGATTTCTATGGTAATGCTGAATATTAAGCCAACCTTTTATTACTCTTGTTGATGACATTGCTTTTATTCAGAATGTGAAATCTTTGGGGGCTCTCTAGTGTAGACTTAGTATTTTTATCTGCCTATTAAACATGTTACATTGTGTTCTCCAAGTGAGGTTTTTTTTTTTTTTTTAAAGCTCCTGACATTAAATAGTGATTCATTCTTTATCTTTAAGTCAGATAGACTGGCTATTTCTGACAATGTAGTGAATTCAGCTCATTTTGCTGCCTTTTTTTTTTTTTTCAATTTACTTTGTCCAACCTAACAATAATTTCACTGGAGGAAAAAAAATAAAATTGCCTCATTGACAATGTAATGATATCAGTTTTTCCTTTATAGAAATTAAACAAAGTAAAAATCTTAACAGTGACTTTCCAGGGTTCATTAGTGCTTTTAGAAAAATGCCCAACAAATTCTCAAGGCTTCATTTTCAAGATAAATCTTCCTGTTCTAAGGTATTTATTTTTGTGCGTTTTGAAGTGGAGTGTGGATAAGAGAGTCCATTTAATGAAATTCAGCGTTGACTCATCTTTTTTTCTCTCCTCTCTCCTCTAGCTCTTTCTCTTTGTTGTCTGGAACTTTGAGCTCTACATGATTCCACTGTTTTTGTTGTTACTATTGACATGGAACTACTTCTTGATAATATCAGGGAAAGATAACAGGCAACGTGATACAGTAAGTCTCTACTTTCTTATTTGTATGTGTTTTTGTTCTTATTCCCTGCTCCTTCCTCCCCTCCCCGACAAAAATCAACATTGAATCTGTCTTTGCAGACCAGAAATTCATCTACAAATGCACAAGTTTGGAGAAAAGCTTCAACCATTTAAAACTAACAATTCTTGGTTGTCACACTATGGGAAGTATTCACCTATTAACACTCTACTTGATAAGGACTAAAGTTGAGGACACACTCAAGAATGAGCTCTGATTTTTAATTATAAATGGATTCTTCTAAATGATTATTTCTTTGCTCTCCTGGTTTCTTTTTGTGTATTAAGGAATCCTAAATTAAGATTTAATATTGCAAAATTATTATTGATCCACTCAAACCAATGTATTGTATTCAAGGCTGTTTCTGTGTTCTGTCATTGAAAGAAAAGGAGACTGATGATTGTTGGCCTAGAAAAGTACATAAAATACCAAATTCAATAAGCAGCAGTTGTGCATCAGGGGAGAATTAAGAGACTGACTCAAGGGTGAATAAATTCCATTTAACCTAGGGAAAGTTAAATAAATCCACCTGCCCTCTCTGTTATTTTTGAAAGTTTTTAGAATGCAAGAGACAATTTTCTTTCTCTCTAAAAGAGTTTTAGACTGAGAAGCAGATGCTGGCTGCACCATAATCACATTTGTTGTTCTCTTGCCAACTTTCACCCCCTTCAGATTATCTCTGTCACAACATCCTACCAATAATTAACTTCAAAAAGTATTTCCATATATAAATAAATGGAAGGGGAGTTGTCCTCTCAAAATAGAACATTTGCAACTTAATAACATGTTGAACAGCTGTTAAGAAGACTCTAAAGATTGGTCAAACATGAAACTGCTTTTGGTGGTTGTATGTCCTCATCAACTGACATATATTTTTCAATCTGCATTAAGATTTGTCATTTTATTATATATGAGGACTTTTGTCAACACTGTGCCCATAGCGACACAGGACAGAGAATTATTTGATTATCAGTTTAATAGTACTACATAAAACTTTAATAGCATGATACTCTTTACATACGATGCCTGTGAACAAAAAAATAAATATCCATTTTGAAGTAACTCAAGTAAAATATATTTCAAGTGGAAACACATGTGAAATAAATACTTCTTTAAAGTGATTATCTGTATCATCAAAGTAAAGAAAAATGCTGATATAATGCCACGCTTATTTTCCTATGTTATCTATTTCTCTCTCTCTCTGCCTCTGGATTATAAAGTTGAGGGAGGAAATGGCTCATCTTTGACCTTGTCTTGCCCCTGTCTCTAGTGCAAGTTATGCAAATTAGATGTTGGAAACATTTTTCATAAAGTTATCAAGTAAGCATGAGGCTGCTAATCAAGATTTTAATGGTTAGACAGCATCAGCACAGAAGAAGTTACTGCTATTATTGGTAAAGATTTTATGGATACATATTTAAGTGGTACATTGAGAGACAAGCCCCAAGTGCCATATGTATTTATGTCCTGGGGAATAATAGGCACTTTTTCAATTAATACAGGATGTTTTCTTTAAGAAAATAAGTCTCCCTCAGACAATTGCTTTTTGTCCCACTTATTTCAGGGAGATTGTCAAGAGAGAAAAATATCTACTTTTCATTTAGTTGCCTTGAGACAAATTTGCAAATAAGATTATTTGCAAATAGGAAAAAGTGGTAATTTAGTTTCAGCGTCTTAATCCTATATGGGGCCTTATCTTCAATATTTAGTCATTGATTTGAGTGTTCTCAGTGAAAAGTTTTGAAACTATAGATGTTGTTATTATCTTCTCCAGAATATTCCTGCTTGGCTGGGAAGGTCTGTTTATAGAAGGGAAAAAATAGCATATAATGTATCCCCTTACACTTAAAATTCTCTGAGAACTTTTATAAACGTAGTGAAAAGTTACATGTAATGTAAATTTTTCTAGTATCCTTTTTGTCCCCCCCCCCAAAAAAAAATAACTAAAAAAAAAAAGTCATTTGCCACATGTTTTCCTTGTAGGTGGATTTCTAGCACACTGCACCTCTCCTTTTTTAGTTTTGAACATTTTATCCCCTGGTCCAGCCCCTCCATGAAACATTCTATAGTTTAACTTACATGGAAAGCCAACTACACTCTATAACTCCCAGTAATTGCCTTGTATTTGCCCAAAACACAAATATCCACAAATTCTGTTCTTTCTAGGCACCAGAGCAGCAATCACAGCGTTTCATTCAGTTTCTTATTCACTGGCTCAGTTGAGACCTTACGTAACTCTTAAATCCAATTTGTCTAATTATGTGTTTTCTGCCATACCCAGCTGTGCATTTGAACTGGTTGCTCCTTTTGAAAAGAAACCTGGATTATACTTTGCTGGTTGCACACACACACACACACACTCTCTCTCTCTGTATTCACATAAGTATTCATATACACATATATCAGCATATATGTAAATTAAGGGAAGTGCCATGCTTCATTGAAGCAAACCTACTGCATAGTACATAGTATGAGGAAAAAATGGTATTTTTCAGTAAGTTCTTATTAGCATCCTATGCACATTGCAGAATCTTTCGGCATGTATGAAAACTTTAAGGACTTTCTGAGGTCTGTTAATCACACTGTTGGCTGATTACAAATCAGGAAACTTTCTGTATTAGGAGAGAAAGAGAAAGAATTTTCTGTTGTGATTTAAAAAAAAGTCTTCACATTCTGCTGAGAAAATTTCATTAGGTTCAAAATTGTAAAAGAAAAATCAAAATGACCTTTAAGAGGAGTGAAAATGGAATAATATTTCTGTGACATAAAAAGTTGAGGAAGAAAAGAAATTTTGTGAAAGATGAAAAATTTACAAATAGGTAAACATTTTGTCTTCCAAATATTTGTTGATAGTTGAGGTTGATACTAAAATAGGAAAGGACATTTTGTGTGTTTATGGTTTATAAAGGAGAGCATTTCTCTTTTCAGAGACTTCAGATCACAGGAAGTGAAACCCTCTATCGCTTCCCCACTATGGTGCCTCTTCTCGTTTAATGAGAAAAAATGAAAAGTAATTCTTGCTGAGCAAGTTTTGCTGCATTTAATGAAATGAACCCAATGATAACAGGCTCAGGAAACAGCCGTCCCCAGGCTAATGTTGTAGATGCAGAGGTACACACGAGAAAGAGGTATGGTGAGAAATGATAGTTCACTCCTGCTGCTCCCAGCCAGACTTGTTAAAGAGAAGCAATCCTAGATCTGATTTTCCCTATACTGGGACTATGGCATCAAAATTTCTGTCCAAAGAATTATTAGACTTTTCCAGAGAAAGCTGTTTAATAGAGTTTGAAGGGGGTAGAAAGAGGGGGATGTCAAGCTTCTTTTGGTTTGAGCTGTCACTCCAAAATCTGCAGAAAGTGTTCCCCTGTGCTACCTACGGTGGTGGGAACTTTCCACCTTAAAATTAACCGTGGACAGAAATTTTGAAGTTAAAGAGTTATGACAGAAAAAGGCCTTTACTTTGGGTTTAAGAGCTACTAAATCCTCATTATCACCTGGGTGTTAAGCACTATTTTATTATGTCACTTAGTCCTTCCCCAGGGGAGAGAAGCTGAACGTGTCAGTCCAGCCAATGTGTTGACCCCTCCACTTCCATCAGGGGCAGGCAGGAGAGCACATGCAGGTGTAACAGCACATGGCTGTGAGAGTCCCACCCTCGAGAGAGGAACCAAGTCTCAGAAGAAGAAAATGGCAAACCAGGGGTCTATTTTACACACTATGAGACAGGTATCACAATCTCCACTAGAGATAGCTTTATGTAACTTACCAAAAGGCAGAGAGAAAGTGGCAGAGAGGGTGTTAGAACACAGGTCAATCTGGTCAGAAGTTTGTACTCCTTACGACCATTAATCACATTTCCTCTCGAGTATATATTTTTGATATACCCCTGCTCTCCGTGGGCATCTTTTTTAAAAAAAGATTTATTTTCGGGCCCTCCCTGGTGGCGCAGCGGGTTAAAGCACTGCACTGAGAAGCTAAAGCCACTTCCGCATGAGTTCGATTCCCGCCTGCCCCGGAGGAGACCACATGGTGTGGCAGACCTCTCCTGACCCGCCCGCTGCTCCCCTCAGCAGTGTACTTCGTTGATCTGCCCGTTCTGCTCCCCACTCTGTCTCTGGTGAAGTCTCTCACTGCCCCTGAGTCTCTGACCTGTACCCCAGTTCTGTATGTACAAATAAATAAATCTTTAAAAAAAAAAAAAAGATTTATTTTCATTTACTTATTTTTGCATATAAGAACTGGGGTATAGCCCAGAAATGTGGGCGTGAGAGGGTTCACCAGAGACAGTGGGGGGCAGAACAGGAATGTCTACTGAAATACACTGCTGAGGGGAGCAGCAGATGAGACAGGGGAGGTCTGCTGCACCATGTGGGTCAGCTCCCTAACTAGGGATCCCCAGTGGCTGGCAATTGCTTGATAGCACTGAGACTTTAACCCCTGTGCCACCAGGCAAGATTCTTCATGGGCATCTGTGAGGTAGGTTTCGCCCTTGAGTTTTAGAAATTCAAATAGCACTAACACTACAGAGTTACTCAACAGATTGATGGAAAACAGTCATTTTTCCTGATTGTACCCACCATGTCCTCCTTATCTCTCATCAAAGAAACAGAACAAATATTTTGAAGTAACTCCTATATATTAAGTATCCTGTTAAGCCTTTTAGAGACAACATCATTTAAAATATCTTTACAATAACAGTATCAAGTAAATTTTCATAGTTTTAGCTTCATTTTACACATGAGGAAATTCAAAAGCAAAGAGGATAAGTAATGGACTCCCTAGAATGAACAAGATGTGAATGAAGCCAGTTCTTTGCTGTTCTGAACCCTCTAACTACCCCCCCATACATGTTTGGGCTTACCGTACCAAAGGATCACTAAGTATTCAGGGCCTTACATGGAATTCCAGGTGTCCTAAAGTTCCTTTTTATAATACAACTAGTGACCCCATTAGAATTGGTGCTT